GCATCGTTTTTTGTCTATATTCTGATTTACCTCATTTTGTATTTTGCTTTGTGTGTTACCTATTGTTTTGTCTGTACAGCACTTTGGTTGGCCTTGTTGCTGTTTTAAGTGCTTTATAAATAAAGTGGTATGGTATGGTATGGTATGGTATTTCCATTTTGCCTCAGTCTATTTTAAATTAGATTTGACTCAGGGAAGATGGGAGTGCTTCCAGATGGTGTTCAGATTTTAGAATGATAGCTCATTAATCTGCAATTGTGGATGATATGGTGAACTGTGTTTACAGACAATGGTTTGTGGATTTGTTCCTGAGCTCATGCAGTGATGTTCAAAACAGATCCTTTTAAATCCAATGCATCCTCAAAAGCTCAAAGACCACAGACATGCAATATTGACTTTCAGCTTTGTTCTTTGTGCTCAGCAATTATTTCAGATTTCTGAAATCATTTGATGGTATGAAGAATTGCATATAATGTGATATTCAAAGTCTTCCCCATTTTTGTTGTTATTGTTGTAAACACTTTTTTTTTTTTTTTGCAGAGTGCAGGACCTCAGCCCATCTTTCCTCATGACACATACCAATAGTGCATAAACAGGAATTCCCTTTAAGGCCCTTTTAAAATTACAACGACCTCTAGAAACATTAGTATTTTTTATGTTTGGTTGGAAAAAGAGAAAGAAAGATACATGTTTACGTTGATCTGATGTAGTTGTAGGGTTGCCACATAAGAAATTATAAAGTGTTGTACTATTGCTTTAAAATTATTGTATTTTGACCCAAACTATCATATGTGCTGAGTCAGGGTGTTGTAAGATGAGGTGTGTGTTATGTTTGGTGAAAATGTGTGCAGAAAAGGAGGGTGAAAAAAGTGTAATTATGATTATCTGGCAACCCTGATGCAGGGCTCTTCTGCATGAATTGTGCATGATCATAGTTACATCCAAATTGAAACAGAATCAGCTTTGTTGTCATTGCACAGTTAAGTACAGCAAAATACCTTCCATACAGCTGCCCGAAGGGTAGACAGAAGTGTACCAGGGCTGCAGCTTCTATGAACCTTCTTGCTTAGATAAGAAAATGGGAAGAAAACATGAGGAGAGAAGGTATTAAAAAAGATCTCCATTAGTACGATCCCTTTACAGCGTCTTCGGTTAAAGTAGCTGAGAATCTTTAGAATAAATGCGAAGTACTCAGTTCCACCGAATAAGCTTCCTTAGAAGTGGAGCATTTACTGCTCGGGTTGAGTGCACAGCGATGCGAGCTGAAACTCCGCTAAATGGAGGGACCCCTTGGCACATGGTCCCATCCATCCGCTGCTTAAGTGAGTCTCATCTCTGACCGAAAGTTCCAGCAAGACTTAGCCCTAAGACTTAAGACTCCGACTGAACTCCAGGACTGCACTTCAGGACTGAACTGAGTTCCAGGACCGAACTGAATAGTTCCACGAAGTGTTCCTTTTAAAGGGGTTTACACTTCCTGTTACGTGGTACTTCCTGATTGGTTGAAACAACCAGCAGGGGGGTGGTTCTAGTGATGTCAAGAGGGTCACTAGAAGTCAAGAGACATCAGGAATGTTTACGAACGGTTAGTACAGACGGAGAAATGTTTATGAAGAGGTGAGACAAAGCAGGTGCCAGTTGAAGTTATTTACTGTCTGCTAGTTTTAAAAACAAGACACTTCGTTCTAATAACTCGTCTCTGTTTGTCTCTGACTTTCGACCGACATCACTAAATGCACACTTACTTAATAAATAGACATTTAACTGTATGATCAAAAATCTGCTAAGGTTTAAAAATCATTAATACTGTTTCACAGTTGATTTAAATGAGTGGTTCACTTCAACATTTAGAAATGGTATGAACTAAACACACTTTTGATTATCAAGATATTGTAAAATAGTAATGATAATATAAAAAAAGAAGAGTGTTCTTTCAATTGATTAATTCAGGATACAATTAAATACTCTCTTGATGAGATAATTTGTATTTCTGGATTCAAATCAATGAAATAGCAGTTCCTGTCCCCTGAAGGTCTTCAGAGACAGATTGTTGTCGGAGGCCTAGTTCACTACAGTCCCCCCTTTGGAATTCATCCCCATGTCCATGGGGATGAATTCCAACATGAACTTACGCCTCCGAATGTCCTTGATCTTGATGTAATCCAGCAAGAGGAAAACAAAAGTCAAAGAAGGTAATCCCACAACGGTTTTGGTAATTTCATAATGTTGTTGGTAATTCCATTGCAGCAACGCTTTAACCCCTTGGAAACAAAGTCTGTAATCCACTGGAAAAAGTCATATAATCCACAACGGTAAATCCACAATGATTGGAGGTATTGATTGATCAGCATGCAGAGGGGTTCCCTCCATTGAACTGCAGAGGCGACCACTGGATGGAGTTTGGAGACCCACGTTGGAGTTGTAGGTCCCTTCAGTGAAGGTTGCTGCTGGTGGTTCCCAGTGGATGCCATTCTGGTTCTATGTGTTCATGCATTTATGTGGTTTTAGTTGGGCTTATGAGTGGGATTTTACACAAGACCTTAACCTATATGCTATCATGGTTTAGATCAGCTACAGGTACCAA